CTGGAGAGGCTGTAGGAGAAAAGGGAACCCTCCTACACTGTTGGTGGGAATGCAGTTTGGTGCAGCCACTGTGGAAAACAGTATGGAGATTCCTCAAAAAAACTAAAAATAGACTTACTATATGATCCAGCAATCCCACTCCTGGGCATATATCCAGAGGGAACTCTAATTCAAAAAGATACATGTACCCCAATGTTCATAGCAGCACTATTTACAATAGCAAAGACATGGAGACAGCCTAAATGTCCATCAACAGATGACTGTATAAAGAAGTGGTGTTATATTTATACAATGGAATACTACTCAGCCATAAAAACGACAACATGATGCCATTTGTAGCAACATGGATGCTCCTGGAGAATGTCATTCTAAGTTAAGTAAGCCAGAAAGAGAAAGAAAAATACCATATGATGACATTCCTACATTATTAGGGCAGATATCAGGACACTTGGGGATCACCCATATCATGCACTTTAGGCTTTCTGTAGTAATTACAGCCCTGCAGAGAAGGATCAGAACCATTACCCTGATTATGTATTAGTGAATTTAAATTTATCAACATCCTCAGATCTCATTCCAAAGTACCTTGCTTCTTAATCTACACCAGATGAGGTATTTCAAGTATTTAACCTCCATCTTCTGGCTTCTCTCCTGACTGTAGCTGAAACATTTGGGAAAAGGAACCCCAAATTGCTCTGAAAGCTGGCAGACATGACAGCAATATTGCTTTGACAAATACCACCCCTACCCTCTGGCCCAAACATCCTTGAATATTTGGTCAGATTGCAGATAAGAGGTTTATACTTACACATTGGTGTACTTGAATGAGATCCCCTTCATAAAGTGGAGTTACTTGTTTCTGAATGTTCCAGGGAGGAACTTTCCTATTAGATCTCTTAACATTAAATAGGAAGATGTTTGAATGTGCAAGAAAAAAAAGTTAGGTGTACAGATTGCAGTGGATGGGTGTATGATTGTCTTTACTTTCTTTATGAGACTGCTTTGTTGCTCAAAATATTCTAAAAAGGGAAATTATTTTTTATTTCCTTGCCAGTGTATTTGGTTGTTTCCATACCCAGTATACTAGAATGATTTCTGTTCGATTTAGCTTATGTTTTTTGTTGTTGCTGTTTTCCTGATTTTGAAGAGATTAATTCCTTAGAAAAGGTTTATTTTTCTGTCTGTCAACTTTTAGGAATATCAGTTTCAGTGTGACAACTTTTAACAGGAACCTGAAATGTCCTTAATCTAATTACAAGAGTTCTTCCTTATAAGACGTACTGCTAGAATTCATCTCTTTTATGAAAAGGTTGACCTGCCTTTTATTTGTGAGATTCACAGAGTTGTTTTCCCTTAATATTAAACATCTAATCAATTGGCTGGAATGATAAAGGTTTTTAAAATTTCTCTTGTCTAATTATAAAGGTGTCAATTAAAAATACATAGTGTTTACATGGTTTATTTTTAGTAAAATGTATGATTGATTTACATACTACAGTTATTAAAATGATTATTTGGTTAGTATTGCCTAAAGCACATACATTTTCACAGTCACTAAACCTTCCTGTATATTTTTAAGCTTAAAGAGAGGTTTTCATTTAATATATAAAACGAACCCCTTTATCCCAGAAAAAAGAAAAAAATAAAAGCACCCTTTTGTTCCAGAGCACAGCTTCTGACTGTAAGACATATGCCAGATGCCTTGCTTGACAAAGAACAGTGAGTGTCCCTGTTGATAATTGACCACGTTTGGCTTCCGCCATACCGCCATCTCTGGCTTTACTAGCCATAAATATTTATTTCAGCGAAAGAAACTATTTTCCCCCATGCACTGACACTAGCCAGATAAGGGCTTTTATCTTTATCTTTTTTGTCTTTAAAGTTGGTGCCTTTTCTGAACAAATTCAATAAGTGTTGTTCACAGTATGCATTATTTTCAGTAAGAACCTGTCTCCCTTTAGCACACAAATTATTGCCCATTACTGGGATTATTTCACTTAAAGAAATCTTGCAGCTTGGAAGCATTGAAATTGTATCAAAAAACAAAAACATGCAAATTCTACACATACCCAATTTTTATTACAATTTTCAGAGTATCTTCTTTTATTTTTAGATGAATCTACGTTCTGTATTTACTGTAGAACAACAAAGGATTTTACAGCGTTATTATGAAAATGGAATGACAAATCAAAGTAAAAATTGCTTTCAGCTCATATTACAGTGTGCACAGGAGACTAAGCTGGACTTCAGTGTAGTCAGGGTAAGTACTGAGGTCTTAAACTCTTGAATTTATAGCTTTTTATTACAAGTGATAATTGCTTAATATGAGAAAAACTATCAGGGTATGAAGTCAGTAACTTTATAAATAGCTTCATTTACTTGGTATAAAAATACTGATTTTTAATAAAGAGCTAATCATTTAGTCTGTATTTATTTCTATAAAAACCTTGAAAGCACTAAAACTTTTGCATTTTAAAAAATCTTTAAAAAAAATCTCAGTCCTTTAAACTAATGAGTACCTTTAGGATTAGTTGTTGATTTTGTGCTTTATTTAAATCTAGAATTAATCTAGGTATAATCTTCCAAATTGATATCAGTAAAACAGGCATTTACCAAGGGACTTAGCATATTTTCTTACTGTGTTTGAATTTTTTTCATCAGACATTTATGACTTTAGTATTTTTGTCTTTAGGAAAACCTAGTCTTTTTGTGAATACTTCTTCCTCCTTCTAAGTAAAATGTATGCACTTTAATGGGTCAGCAAGTAAGGGACAAGAAATCCTGAGAGAGAGAGGAAAATTTCCTTTATTACAGCCATAGTTATTCAGCTGTAAAAATCAGAGCTGCTACACATTTGGGAAAGGCAATGAGAAGGTCATAGAGAGGAGGCAAGAAAGAAATCTAAAAGAACTAGTCACAGATTTTATTGAGTGCATTAAGTCCTTCCATGTTTGTCTAAACATGCTACAAATCTTCCCGGCGTGAAACCTTAGCGATTCAAAGATTAGCAGCTTTCTCAGTCTTGTCATTCATTAGACTAATTTGGTAAGAGAGAGGATTTCTGTTTATTTTTCTCTTGGAGGAACTTTCAAAGACCCTAAATATAAAAATCCCTTGACCAAAATAATGTTGGGGGAAATCTATTTCTTAAAGACTGAAAGATATATTCACCTTCAAGTAGGAAATTATGCCACCAGTTCTATGGGTGAAATAGCCAGGATATCTGTTTCTTGTTTGCCGAGATCAACCATCATACTCAGACTTGTGTAAGAACTAGAAATATCTCTTATTGATAGCGCTAAATTCCCTACTTGAAATACCTTTAGAAAATCTCAGAGAAAAAAAATTTAATTGCCTTAGAAAAAGTACTTTTAAATGTGTAATATTTCAAGTTGATGATAGTTCCATTTTATAAGTACAAACTCGTTTTTATTTTCTGCAGCAACTTCTTTATTTTTTTCTTTTATTTTTACCATTACTTTAAAATGAAACATCTTCTTAGGCAGCTGCTTTGTGGACTGTGACCTTCCATATTTCGAATTTGCTATTGGAATTTTCCCCTTAATAACTTACTTGATTGTACTTGAATATTGAGAGCGTTGAAATATAAATGTCTATATTTATGCTCCAAATGGTGTGAAATCTGTAGCAAATAATGGAAAGAAAAAAATAAACTCGTGGACTTTAAGCTTACAAGTAAAATGTTTCCTAAGTTATAAGGAATTGTGTAAAACATATTCATTCTCTCTGTTCTAGGAGAGTGTAAATTCTAGAGAAGTTCAATCTTCCTCATCTAAATTTCAAGACAGATTTGGTAGCTTTTCCAGCCAGAGGAGAAGGGAGTTGTTTATAGACTCATTATTCCACAACCTCCCCTGCTGGATATTTTGCTAGGTCTATATGTTCTACTTGAAAGATATCTTCCTTTAATATTTTAATATACTACTTGTTGTGTTTTTTTATCAAAAGAACTTAAATTCCACTGTACAAGAACTTGATCCTAATGTAGAAAGAACTTAAAAGCTTAAAACATCCATGCAAAAAAATATAGTGGGGTAGAGGAACAGGAAAGCAAAGAAGGAGGTATAGAAAAAGGAAAAGAAGTTTGGATACTTTAAATTTCTAAGAAAGAACTGAAAAATAATTTTACGGACACCAAGGACTGGCGACTCAAATTTATTTTCTTTTTTATTCTATGTAGTATCGTTTTATTAAATTCTCATCATATCAATTTTGTTTGATCCATTTTTTTCTCTCACACCAATGAAACATTTGGAATGAGAATCATTTATATCCTATAAGCATTGGTAAATTCTGGATTGTGTAACCAAATGACTTAGTAAAATTTAATTCAGTTATTGGGAACCTTCAGGTAATGAATTTTCATTTTCAACATTTTGATGTAAAATATTTCTTAAGTATATAATTTCCTACTTTACTTCAATAGAGATTATTGAAAATAATTGAACCTTTCCTTTAGACTCAGAATTTTACTATGCAAATCAATGATTGTACTTGCTATAAAATAATAATACTCACAACATGGTAAAGTAAATGGGGTGATTTTCTCCTCTACTAAATAACCCCAGACTATTAAATGATTTCTTACATCGATTATCACATTTTTCCTTTCTTCTCCTTTTTAGTGAGCAATATTTAATGGACATTCTTAGTTTTGGTGCTATCAAGGTGCCTCCAGCAACAGTCTCTATTACCAATACCTCTCCTATTTTTTTATTTCTAGTTTATTATAGTTTAGGAAACCAGATTTGGTTAAATTGTGTGTAAAATAAGAGAAAGTGAGCTTTAAGTTCAAAGATAGTTCTTCCAATAAAGTACATGTATTTAATGACATCTACAATGGCTACATTCTCAACAAGTGAGGTTGTTAGATAGCTGAGTTTCATATGCATGTGATATTCTGTATTTTACTTTTTAATGGGTACATGATACAAATATCTGGTAAATTATATAAGTAACTATATATATATGTATATATATGACCTATGAAACTATATAAGTCGTAAATTTGCAATGCACTAAGATTACTCTTAAAATTTCTGTGTTAAGGAAGGTATTGTAATGAGAACTTGGTAGATTGTTTTCTTAGAAATCTTGCCTGGAGCTGCCCTCCAGATGTAATAGTTCTTGAGTTCAAATTTTACCAATTCACTGCTTTCCCATTGAAAGTTTTAAAATGTAATGCTTATATAGTTTTGTAAAAATTATGAACAAGTGCATCATGCTTCCCACATATATTTTTCATATTTGAAAAGCTATAACATAGTAACTTATTTTGAATATTTATAATATTCACCTTTTCAAACCATACACTGAAATTATATTTATCCCCAAACATTTCTTTTAAAATATTTCTCTTGTGTGTATACTTTAAAGCCTTTTAGTTTTTCTCTCCTGTCTTCTTCTCTTGTCCTTCTGCTTGAAATTCTCACCTCTGATGTTTAGTAAAACTAAATCAGAGGGAGTTTTAAATTCCCACAGCCTCATGTGAAGCAAAATGGAACATTTCAGTTTCTGGAACATTTTCTTCATTACAGAAGTACTAATTACAAGAGTAAAATGACCAACAGAGATGGCCAACTCCATTTCAGGAGTTTCTCATCATAGTGGAAGGAGAATGTGCTCTGAGGTCAAGTAAAATTGGTTTTGATTCCTCGCTCTGCCACTAGCTGGCAGGATATCCTTCCACAAGCTACTTAATATTTCTGCACCTCAGTTTCTTCATTTATACAATTAGAAAAATAATATCTAGCAAAAGAGCTAATATATATATATAATATATATATATATATATATGAACACACAGTGGAGATTCAATACATGTTGGCTTTTATTTATAGCACTACAATAACATTAATGTTGTATAGAATGTAAATATACATTGAAAATTGGATAATTTATTTGGTCTTCAAAAACACATCACACAAAAGGTGACCAGATACACTCTGCACCATGTTTATGCAAGGCTAGTTCATTTAATGTTTCACTTATTTATTTTTTAAGATTCTTAATAGATTAACGTGTTTTGGTAGTTTAAAATATGGTAGGCCTTTTGAAATAATTGTAAAGTTTACTAATCATTTTATGGAACATAATGTTTCTTATTGTGTATTTTAAGAAGAATCATGATTCAGTGTAATACTGGTAAGATTATTAAAATAAATTACTTATATAAAAGTACATATTTTATAATCAAGTCTTAAATGCCAAGCACTGGTATTATTTTTATTAATTTTTTGTTTATAAAAGTAATACATATTCACTGCATAAAATTTGGTAAGTAAAGAAAAGCATAAAGAAGAAAATAACTACAATAAATTAATGACAAACAGGGAAAAATATTTGCAACTTGTGACAAAGTGTTGCTATCTCTAGTAGAAAATTGCTCTTATAAATCAGTTTAAAAAGACAAATACTCCAATATAAAAATTCGTTTTGGGTAAGCAACTCTATCAAAGTAATATAGTAACCATAGAAATTCAAATCAGAACAGCAATTATATACAACTAAAAGATAATGCAAAGTGTTGATGAGGGTGTGGGGAAACCAGGCCTCTTGTACATTGGAGGGTACTTTAAAAATATCAAAAAGCCCAGCAGTTTTCTTTCTAATGTGGCATTCTAATGGACCAGTAGAACAAAGATGGCATGCACATCCCTGATGTGTATTGAAGTATGATTTATAATAGTGAATGTTTCTGAAAGTAATCTAAATATATAGCAGTATTAAATTAACCAAATTATGTTCATAGAACAGAAGTTGTTAAACTTCAAGGTTTCTAGTGTATATTTGTTTCATAATACTATGAGCATTTCCAATGTCATTAAATATCCTACCTCTAGTATGCTTCCAATTTTTCACTATTGTACATAAATATATGTTGAACATCTTTGCATATGAACTTTGTATACATCTAGGATTGCTTTTAAGATAAATTCCCAGAAGTGAATTTACTAGGCCAAGGAATATAAACATTTTAAGGTTCTTGCTACAGATTAATTAGAAGGGTTTTGAGGAGGAGAGGAATAATAATACAATTCTTTTATCAGAGTTCCTAGATACTTATTAAGTGTCAGTCCCTGATCATATCTGACCTTATACTTTAGTTATTTTTCTTTTGTTTTATTTTAAATTTGTGTAGGTCTTGATTCTATGACAAATGGGAATGCAGTTTATCACATAGAAATTGATTTTTCTTGTTTTTTTGTTAAAAACTTTTCTATAATGTCATTTTTATCCTTCCAGACGTGGGTTGGCAATAAGAGAAGAAAAATGAGTAGTAAGAATTCTGAATCCGGAGCAGCAACAACAGGAACTGTTTCTGGTACTTCTTTGGCAGCTCCAGACACTGCAGTCAGAAATGTGGTTAATACTGCTCCACCCTCAGGTCAACAGTCTTCTTGGACATCTCCCAATAATGATGTCATTGTAACTGGTATATACAGTCCAGCCAGTTCATCAAGTAGGCAAGGGACAACCAAACATATAAATACACAAATTACAGAAGCACATAAAATCCCTATTCAGAAAACAGCCAGTAAGAATGATACTGAGTTTCAGTTGCACATTCCTGTTCAAAGACAAGTAGCACACTGTAAAAATGCCTCTCTGCTTTTAGGTGAAAAAACAATTATTTTGTCAAGACAGACAAGTGTGCTAAATGCTGGAAACTCGGTATACAATCACACAAAGAAAAACTATGGAAGCTCTTCAATACAAGCCTCTGAGATGACGGTACCTCAAAAGCCATCTGTGTGCCACCGACCTTGCAAAATTGAACCAGTCGGAATTCAAAGATCATATAAACCTGAGCACACAGGTCTAGCATCACATAACTTATGCGGACAAAAGCCATCTATTAGAGACCCTTACTGCAGAACACAAAACTTGGAAATCCGTGAAGTATTTTCATTGGCAGTTAGTGATTACCCCCAGAGAATTCTGGGAGGAAATGCCCCACAGAAGCCCCCTAGTTCAACAGAAGGAACTTGTTTGTCCATTGCTATGGAGACTGGAGATGCTGATGATGAG